CAATGCCATCCAAACATCCTCTCCAGTGTGTGAGTTTTGCAGCGGATCTTACCAAAGTTTTGAGTGTCAAGCGGACAACCCATTTGCGCAGGCACAAATGAAACAGGCTCAATATGTGGGGAATTACACTAGGCAGCAGAACAATCCGTACTCTAACAGGTTTAATCAAGGATGGCGTAATCACCCAAACTTGTCTTGGATAAACAATCAAAATGTGTTGTAGCCCGAACAGAGCAACCCGCCACAAGAGAAGAAGGTGAATCTGGAAGAGGCAATGGCTCAATTGGCTACTTCTCACACGCAATTCATGAATGAAACTAGGACAAATTTTCAGAATCAATCGGCTCAGATAAGAAGTTTAGAGGTACAAATCAGTCAAATGGCTAACATGTTTTCTGAGAGGCAACAGGGAAATTTGCCTAGCACTTCTAAAGTGAATCCAAAAAGAGATGGAAAAGAGTATTGCAAAGCAGTTACCTTGAGAAGTGGTAAAGAATTAGAAGCTTCAGTGAGAATTGAAAAGCTTGACAAATATATAAAAAGGGTGTCATCTCAAACACAAGAGGCTACAAAAAAGGATATTGAAGTTAAGGCAGAAAATCAAGCACAACCTCCTCAAGAACCATCTCTCAGAGTTCCTTTTCCTCAACGCCTGAAGAAAAGCAAACTAGATCAACAGTTTGTTAAATTCATCAATGTATTCAAGAAACTTCACATCAATATTCCATTCGCTGAAGCTCTAGAACAAATGCCGAGTTATGTGAAGTTTATGAAAGACATCTTGTCAAACAAGAGGAAACTTGAGGACTATAAAACAGTTGCACTTACTGAAGAGTGCAGTGCCATTTTACAAAGGAAGTTGCCCCAGAAGCTTAAAGATCCAGGGAGTTTCACCATCCCTTGTTCAGTTGGTAATGCTGTGTTCGGGAAGGCATTATGTGACTTAGGTGCAAGCATCAACTTAATGCCTTTATCTATCTTTCAAAAGTTGGGTTTAGGTGAAGCAAGACCTACCATAGTGACACTATAATTGGCAGATCGCTCTATCAAGCACCCTAGAGGAGTAATTGAGGATGCGCTCGTTAAAGTTGACAAGTTTATCTTCCCTGCAGATTTCATAGTTCTT